AATAATATGATAGTCCTCCACTCGTGTATGTGTGTGAAGTGTTACCAAGGACAAAACAGTGTACAGGTATTATGTTCAAATGTTTTAATGTCATGCTTTTAACTGATAAAATGTGGAAAACCATTTGTGAAATATATGTAAAACATACTAGTTTAAAGACCTATTTCACAAATTTATGTTACGTGATCTGTATGTTCAATCTGTTATCAATTGTAGTAATCAGTTATAAAAGCATAAGAATATGAAACACACATTTGAAAACATGTTTTGAGTACAAGAATTTCCTTGTACTTTGCTTGTGTTCCCCCCCTGAAAACAGTGAAAACGGTGAAAAAGGATAGGGGTATGAACTCACTGGACTCGGAAACGTGTCGGTTTTGAATGCTAGACGTTGGTTTGGGGTTTCATTACTCGCGAAATCCCTATGTAAAATGAAATAATGTCCATATATATACAATTAGGGATACATTCACTAATCATATGGAACATTACACTTCAATGAGGTTAAACACCTCAAAACGAGCGTTCAGAGTGACCCGGGTGACATCTTCGGACGTGTAATGGCACTAGGGACTTGGGACTTGAGTTTACTCCCCAAGAGTAAACATTTTAAAGAGTTTACAACTATGGAACACACACATACATGAGTTTACGGCCGTAAACTCATGTGGGTGTGGTTTTGATGATTTAAGGGCTCAAATGGACATAGGGATTGCTAGAATGGATTATCTAAAATGCCTTGGAACACTTGGAATGAATTTATACCATTTAAAACATGAGTTTACGGCCACACTCATAGAGTTTACGGACGTAAACTCACCCATGGCTAAGAATGGTTAATTTGAACTATTTAGGGCAATCACATGTGATTCAAACTAATTTTCTAAGCATTGTTATGAATTTAGATTACCATTTTACAAACTTATAGGAGTTTACGGCCTAGGAGGAGTTCTTTGGCTGTAAACTCACTTATGTTGGCTATATGTTGTGTTTAAGGTCTCCAAATCATTTTTAGATGAATCTAGGATTTACCACAAAGCCATTGGTTGAGTTTGAAAGCATTTTGACATGTTTAAAGGCACTAAATCACCATTTAAGAGGAGTTTACGGCCCAAGAGTATGTCTTGGCCATAAACTCATTTTTATTACTCAAAAATCATGTTTGAAGTGTTCCAAGTCTAGATTAGCAAGCCCAAAGGTCATATCTAAGTCCCAACTATGATTTGGAAGGGTTAATTGGCTCAAAAACCCTTTGAATATGAGTTTACAGCCCAAGAATGATCCTTGGCCGTAAATTCCTTCAAACCTCATAAAATTCATGTTTTAATTGTTTAGAGTCCATATCTTGAAGTCCCTTGGCCATATCTAAAGTCCAAAAGAGTTTAGGAAGGAGTTTAAGGGCTTAAAACCCTTCAAATTGGTGTTTACGGCCTAGGCATGCTCCTGGGCCGTAAACTCACATATGTTGTCCTATTTTATGATTAAATGTCGCATTTGGAAGTCAAATATGCTATAGATTAAGGCTAGGAAGGTACCTTAGAGATTTGAAGCCTTAAATTTGAGTTTTGATCTCTTAAACTTGGATGAGGAGAGAGGTTGGTAGTGTTTAATGGTAAATTGACCAAAGGTTTCAAATGAAGTCTTAAACACGTTTATATAGTGTTTAAGTTTCGGACACGGTGGAATTCTACCCGATACCGACGTTAGACAAGGCTTTTGGTCATACCCGATTGAGTTACCGTAACCCGATACGGTAATTACTAGAAATATTCCGATCACTAAAGTTGGGTGTTAAAATGATTTCTAAATGTATTAAGACACCCATTAAGTCATTTTAAATGTGTACTAAATAATGACTTAATTATACGGAAGATCGGAAATCGAATTTGGAATGACGATTGGTTGCGCGAATTGTACTACGAAAGAGTTACAATGAAATGATACGGAAATTTCGGGTTGTTACATAAACAACCTTTTTTTGAAAAATGAATAGTGTGAAAACAATGTTTTTAGTTCTGAATCAACTAATAATTTTTGAACATTACGAGAAATTTCAAGTAATCAAGTGATAATTTTAGAAATGATTCGAAATCGTTAAAAACTCGAGAAAAAACACCGATGGTTACCTTTCATTGTTAAGAGTGAGGAAATGGTCTTGTTCATGTTTTCATCGGAAGATATTTTTCTTCGTTTATGTTATTTGATGCTTCTGCAAATGTTTTTCTTCTTGTCGATTATTCTTCAAATGGTTTTCGTGTTATGGTGTATCGAAGTGGGAAATGGTGCTTTTCTGTCGAGATTTGACGTGATATCAAATTAGTCAAGTGCCCTGACAGTTTAATGTTTTTTTTATTATTTACAAATTTGTCACCGGTCATTAATGTATTTGGATTATTTATAAGTTTTTCCACCATGCGTTTTTTAAGCTCATTAAATGATTGGCTGAAAATGGTTCCTCGATTCACAACCTTTTTTTTTTCTCAATTGAACCCTCTCTCTCTCTCTCTCTCTCTCTATATATATATATATATATATATATATATATATATATATATATATATATATATAGAGAGAGAGAGAGAGAGAGATGAGGGTTCAATTGAGAAAAAAAAGGTTGAGAATGGAGGAACCATTATTAAATCATTAATACAGAAGAAGCTTAAAAGTTAAAAGGATTCATGAAAAAGTTGAATAACAATGAATATAAGTAACTTACATGATTACCAGTCAAGGTATCAACAAGCATAGCTAAGGGGCCAAAAATCCATCAACACCATCGTGTGCAAAGAAAGCATGCAGTTAATCAGCTATTCATGCAATGCAAATTTGATAGAATAGAATAAACTAATGCATTCTAACAATCATTATCAAGGGCACCATGTTGATACAAGAATATTAAACAGTAAAATAGGGAAATACTCAAGATAACAAAGCGAAAAAACAGAATAGGTGGCGAGACCATCTCCTGAAACCCGTTGGCAATCACTTTTGAGTAGCCTGAAGTCCTCCCCTTTCTTGGACTGATTAGTTTGACCAGTAGTAATCTCCGGACTCTCAGTCTTCTCCCTCGCCAATTCACGCTTTAACAACACAGATAAAGGGATCGTGTGATGATCACCATTCTCATTACCATGGATTTACCAAAAAAAAATATTAAAATTACCACAAGAGCTGATCAAACGGAACAGACTGTACGTTTTTCCCCTTCCCTTTCTTCACTTCCACTGTCCTAATTTCACAGTATAATCTCTGCCCGATGATAGGATCGTCCTCGTACCTTTTCACCAAAAAAATCAAATCAAAATAGATTTTGGGTTGACTAAAATCATTATGAAAACTCAATGAGTGTCGCCACCTATACGTTCTTTACGAAATGCTGAAAGAGGAACACCATGTTTTATAGAGTCATCTATATAGCTTCTTATATCTTCTTGCTGTAACAGTTCATAGCAGTTAATAAACCATGCACGATACAACAATGGATAAAAAAACAGTTGTATTCAGATTCAGCAGAACGGATACCTCAACTCGAATATAACATAAGGCTTTCAATATGAGCACACGAACACCAGGATCAAGGGTGTTATACGTTTCAATCTCAGCCCTGAAAGGACAAGATATGGTAATTAGTTAAACTAAAATGAAAATAAATGACATATACAATTGATCATAATGTAGCACAACTTACCCATGTGATGCTACAATAGGTAATTCCCCCTCTACAACCTGCAATAAGGTTTCAAAAGCAAACTCGGTTATGAACAAAAAAAAGTTATGACAATTTTAATGGTCAAGATGAAAATATAATGTACCCGGTGCCACCAATCTCTTAGCTTTCTGCATAAAACAGCAACACATGTGTTTCTTCCTAATGTCATCCGAGTAACTGGAGGTAGGGGTGTGCAAAAAAACCGCAAAACCGCAAAACCGAACCTATCCGGTCGATCCGAAACCGAAAAAAACCGAAACCGAAAAAACCGGGTATATACGGATTGGTTTGGTTTGGATATTCAGATATCCGCGGATACCCAAACCGAACCGTATTATATTATTTATTTGTATATATATTTTTTCTATTATGTAATATAATAAAAGACTATAAAATTTAATTAGAAATTTGTTACAGCCCATTCCAAATGGCACTCGACTAGTTGATTGTACTCAATTAGACAATTACTCAATGTTTCGCTTAGGGCACCACCGCAACAATTCAAGGCTTCAACCAAACGGGAATTGAGCAACCGGCAACGATCACTCGATCATCGATCATCGTTGATCATCGGCCGCTATCGCAACTCGCAACTAGCACCATTTCTCTCGTCAACAGGTCGGCATTCAGCAACGAGTCGAGAAGGCGCACTAACAGTTCACGTTTTCACGAGTCACGACGAGTCGACGACTACAGGATTAGCTTACAGCGAAATCGTCAAATCGACACATCGTTCTCTCCATCTCCACTGTTTGGTACTCGGTAATTAGGTATTCCCTTTAATTTGTTTGACTTCTCATTTTTGTTCGTCAATTTGTTCGTACATGCAACCTGCGTCATATCTCGTCTTTTGGACATTACCCTTCTGTTTAATTTTATTTCACAAACGAAAAATCTTCAAAATCCTTAAGTCAAAGCTATGATTTATTGTTTAATATTCATGGATTTAATGTTGAATATTGATATGGAATGACTTGTAATGAACTTCAGTTTACACACATTTAGATCATATATAAGTTATGAATGCTCTAATCCAAATCTGTTCTGTTGAGAGAATAAAAGGAAAAAAATTATAGTAAAGGCTTACCTTCTGCACACTTGTATTTATTTGATGTTGTTCTCCAAATGTACAACTAGATTATAGCATTTACAACATAATTTCTAATAATATATTATCTGTTTACTACTTTATCAATGTATGCATGTATGGTATCTAAGTTATGTCTATATTTGAACTCTAACAAAAAATAGTTTTTTTTTTTTTTTTTTTTCTGATTTTCAGGAAAAAAAAATGGCTGAAATGAAGGTTGATGTTGATTCTTTACCAACACAACAATCTGGAAGTTCAAATGCAAGTGTTAATCCTTCACCTACAACAGAAACTGCCAAGAAAGTGGATGAAGGGAAAAAGACCGAAAAGAGAAAGCAAAAAACGGATACTTCTGAAGCATGGCGACATTTCACTAGAGATCCCGATGATCCTAATTACTCTGTTTGTAATCATTGTACTAGACGATTTCATTGTGCTAGTAAGAATGGAACTAGTTCAATGCGGAATCATACAACACGTTGCACTAAGAACCCTGATAACGTCGACAAAAAACAAAAACTTTTGATGTTTCAAAACCAAGCTTCTATACAAGAAAATGGAGAAAGCATATCTACATTTGTCCCTTGGAAATTTGACCAAACCAAGTGTAGATATTTGTGTGCTAGAATGATCATTATTGACGAATTACCTTTCAAAACTGTTGAACATGAAGGGTTTCGTGACCTTGTGAACATGTTGCAACCACAATTTCAAATCCCTTCAAGAACCACTATTACTAATGATTGTTTGGAGATATACAAGTCAGAAGCGGAAAAGTTGAAGAAGTATTTTGCTAAGAACAGACAACGAGTTTCTTTAACAACAGATTTGTGGACTTCTAGGCAAAATCTTAGTTACATGTGTTTGACACCTCATTTTATTGATAAAGATTGGACCATTCACAAAAGAATAATAAACTTTTGTCCTATTTCTGGTCATTCTGGTGAGATAATTGGAAAATATGTGGAAAAGAACTTACTTGATTGGGGAATTGACAAGGTTTTCACAATTACAGTTGACAATGCTAGTTCAAATGACCTTTGTATTCGATACCTAAAAAGAAGATTGAATGCATGGAAGCATAGTGTGTTAGATAGTCAACATTTGCATATGAGATGTTGTGCCCACATCTTAAGTCTTGTTGTCAAAGAAGGTTTAAAAGATGTTGACACAAGTATGGCCCGAATTCGATCAGTTGTGAAATATGTGAGGTCTTCTCCGGTTAGGCTTCAACGCTTTAAGGGATGTGTTGAGAAAATGAAAATTGAGAGTAAAATCCTTGTTTCTCTAGATGTTAAAACAAGGTGGAATTCAACATACTTGATGCTAGAAAGTGCCATCAAGTTTCAAGATGCTTTTGATTTATTGGAGGAGCAAGATAGTAAGTACAGGTCCGAGCTTTTATCATTGAAGGGGTTGCCCAATGAAGAGGATTGGGAGCATGTTAGGTGTATGTTACCTTTCTTGAGAGGTTTTTATACATCTACTTTGCATATTTCTGGCTCTTTGTATGTAACTAGCAAGAATTACTTTCATGAAGTCTTTGGCATTGGAGCAATGATAAAAAAAGATGATAACAAGTGATGATGGTTTTAAAAAGATGGCTGCTAAAATGAAGGAGAAATATGATAAGTATTGGAGCAATTCATCGAACATAAATGTGTTTTTATTTATTGCTCCAATTCTTGATCCACGATACAAGTGAGGTTATGTTTCCTTCATTATTAGCCAAACTTATGATGAAGAAAAAGCCAAAAAATTGTGTGAACAAGTAGAGAAAGTATTGCGAGATTTGTATGCTCATTACTCACATGAAGTTGGAGTTATTAATGAAAATCCGACAAGTAGTTCCGAAAATATTGAAGAAGAAATTGTTATTGACGTTGATGATGATCCAACAACTTTCTTGAACAACCAATACAAAAGATTGTTGGAAGAGAACTCAAGTGGTACAGGTAATTTACAAGTTGTCTTTCTTTTATTTTTGTTATGTATACTTACACAATTGATGTTTTTTATTGTAATATTTTTTGATAATTATAGCTGCAAAGTGTGAGTTGGATTGGTATTTGGGTGAGCAATTTGAGTCTTTGGACAACAAGTTCGATTTACTTACTTGGTGGAAGAAAAATCAAGTAAGGTTTCCGGTCATCGCGGCAATTGCTAGGGATGTTATGGCAATTCCTGCCTCAACTGTAGCCTCTGAATCTTCATTTAGTACCGGGGGACGTGTTCTTGATGCATTTTGTAGTTCATTGACCCCCAAAACGGTGGAAGCATTGATATGTTGTCAAAATTGGCTTAGGTCCAAAAATGTTCCCATTGATATTGAGGAAAGTTTTGAAACTCTTGAAAATTATGAGGCCTGTACGACTTTGCTTTTTTTAGTTTTATAGTTTCATGTTTTATTAAATCTAATGTATAATTTTTGTTGTTTCAGAAGTGAAAGACTTGCCTCAAGCTATATCCGCCCTTACTGTGGATGATTAAAGTTTTAAGATGGTAAAATTTTGGATTTAATTGTTTTTTTTGTTCTTTACAATGTAGTTTATATTCAGTTTTTGTGCAGTTTTTTTAATAGATTTTGTTGTTGTTTTCTGTAGATTTTGTAGCTGTTTTGTGTGGTTTTTGAATAGCTTTGTGCGGTTTTTTTTTTTTTTGTGCAGTTTTTTAAAGCTGTTTTGTGCAGTTTTTGGTGTTGTTTTTTTGCAATTTAACGTTGTTTTGTGCGGTTTTTTGGTGTTGTTTTTTGCAGTTTTTTAACGCTGTTTTGTGCAGTTTTTTGGTGTTGTTTTATGCAGTTCTTTTAATGTTGTTTTGTGATGTTTTTGGATGTTGTTTTGTGCAGTTTTTTGGTACTGTTTTGTGTTGTTTTTGGTGTTATTTAGTTTTGTTGAAGGGATTATGGTTGTTTTTTGTGTTATCAAACTAGTGTTAAACATTTTTAAATCTCTTGTTGAATTGTTTGTTTTGGATGATTTTGTTTTGAATGGATATTTTACAATTCACTTGAATGTAGCATTTTTTTTATTAATTTGTTTTTGTATATTTACTGATTTACCGGGTAACCATGAACCGAACCGTGGTTACCCGCCTTCATACGGTTCGGTTCGGGTTTTGTAAAATACGGTTCGGTTACGGTTAGTGCAAGTAAAGTACCCGCCCCGTGATCACGGTTCACAATTTTATTACTATCCGAACCGAACCGCCCCGTGAACACCCCTAACTTGAGGTATTGCCTAAATAAATAGAAAATATTAAAGTGAAAAAGATACTTTAAAATTCATTTTCATCAAGAATTTATAAGAAATACACGAGCCACAATAACCAAATGCAAATACTTAGGTGACTAAATATATCAACATATACTTCTATTTGTGTATGATTATATCCATATTGTGAATGTTATGAAATTTTAAAAAGCTAGCCAGACATAGTATAAAATAGCATAATCACACTTAATTAGGGGAATCAACCTTATTAAAGTTCCATAACCATGTGGCAATTATTAGATGTGGGGACTAATTTCACTATTGTTATTATTAATCGTGATCATTAGGGTTTCAGAATTCAAGTACCTGAGCAACAATATTGATTAGAAGTCTGGTCTTCGCAAAAGGCATAACACTGCTACTAATGATCGACAATCCAAGGTTTTGCTTCTGGGTTAATAGATGCATCTTCAAGCACATATGCCTTGTCCATTTACAAAAGTTGAAACAACAGTTACTTCCAATATGTTGTTAATGATTTATATCTTTTGATTGTGGTAACAAGCTCTTAAGACAAATAAGTTCTCATATTTAAGAGTTTTATCATAAAAAAAGAAACAAGTATCTTCTTAAGTTTAGGGATGAGGGAGGATAAGGAAATAAAGTGTGGATTCAACTTTTCTCTCTGCCAAAACATGATCTTGTGCCTGAATCGGATTTCTGGAAATTATTGGAATCTTTATGGCACCAACAACTTCATATCCAAGTGAATCATCTCCAAAAGACGTGGTGAAACATCTCATTTTTAGGTTTTACATCTCAAAAAGATTTGGTGAAAGTGTTAGATAAGGGTACATCGAAGTCTCTTGGTGATAGTCGCAGTCTCTTTATGAAACTAGACAACGGAGGTGTCGCTCTCTATCGAAGAAGAGGGACTCCACCAGCTGGGTGTCGCTGGAAAGCCTCGGAAAGGAGGGGATCCACCGGCTTGGTGTCCCTGGAAAGTGTTGGATGGCGAGGTGGGGCTGGACGGAGGTCAGAGTTGGGAGGCTTCGGCGTCAAGAGAGACGTCGGAGGTGGGAGAAGCTATCGATGTCGAGAACTAAGAAGAAGAGAAATGGTTTTGTCGAAGTGAGAAAGAGAGAAATGAAAATTGAAGAGAGAGCATGCAGTAGTGGAAGGAGGTTGGGGAAGTTCTTTACAAAAGCCCTAGCTATTACAAAGAGGAAGGCGGGGTTTTTAAGTTTTTGGGATTTCATTTTTCCTTTGGGATGGAACACGCGCTTGCTATTAGAATTTATAAAGTGACAGCTTTAGACGACGCACATTTTATTATAGGTGCCCTCTGTGTTTTTTTTTTCTTTTAGACACTAATTTCGGGGCACACAAAAATGCGTATCCTAAATCCTTTAAATTTTAATAGAGATGACATTATTTTTAGGCCACCCACAAATGCACGTCTTCTATCAGCAAGTGTCATTGTTTGCGCGTCATTAAAGGGCTGTTTTCTAGTAGTGACACCATTTGTTTATGAATCCTATATGCTCTACATGGTCGAATGACTCAAATAGTCTCCACTTGTCGCTGGTCTTACAAAGGTGGAAATCGTCCCTATGGCTTACCTCTCTGTCATCTACTCAACCGCTTATTATGATAAGGTTGCTGAGAGGATTCACTTTGATATTCATAACAACAAGATCTCGATTTCTAAGAATCGTTTATGTGCCCTACTTGGTCTTGCGTCCGACCCAACCCTAGTAAACCCCGACTCTATCACTACTGGTCAACTATTCTCAATGCTCTACCAAATGGGGTACACTGAAACCCTAACCACTGTTACGAAGTTTAAGAAGTCCTACCTTCCCCCACAATGGAACGACCTCTTCACTCTCTTGTTCAAAGGACTTTCTGAGCGAAGCGCTGGATTTGACGGTGCAAGCAAGTATTTTATGACTATGCTTTATGGGTTGTACCATGGTGTAAATCTGGATTTTGGAGCGGTCATCTAGCAACAACTCGTTCAGAGTTTATCTTCTTCTACTCGCCATTCTGAGATTTCATGTAGCAGGTACTGGTCTATTATAACACGGTGGGAAATGGATCGTTTTCACGTTCCAATCATGGTAGACTCTCTTCTCTCATCTATCGCAACATTTCACACCACGGAGATTATCATTATTGATCCGTCCAAGTTTCACTTCATCGGATGGATTCCAGAAGCCATGTATGCTTGTGTTTCTGCGGCGAGTAATGTTCTTCAAGAATACAAGAAGCTTCCCTCCTCTGGTCCAAGGGAACTCACTCCTGACATGGTGAAATCAATTGAAGACGCAGACAAACCTACCAAAAGAGTCAAAAAGCGAGAAGTGAAAAAGGGAGATAAGGGGGGTCAAGTCTCAAAAGTTCAAACCCCTAGGAAGCGAAAGTCTGAGAAGGCAGCCCCGGCTCAACCTAAGCCAAAGAAAGTCAAGAAACCCGCTCGCCGTCTAATTCTTCAATCCTCAAGTGATTCTGACTCAGAATATGTGACACCTAATCAACCCACAATTCCTCCCAGTGGATCTAAAACCGAAAGCTCAGACGATGAGGGTTCGGTGCGTGGTGATACACCACCTCGTTCGCCTACACCAGAGGTACCAGTTCGATCCAAACCACCTTCTCTTCCACCTATTTCTATACTTGTTTCCATCCCTCCTATTTTTCCTGTCATAACATCTCAACTATCCTCTACCATTCCCATTTCTGCACCAATCTTCACTGAGGCTACTACTACTACTACCACTACTGGAGTTCAGACCAACGTATCTATTACGGGGGCCCCTTCTTCAGCAACCAAAACCTACCGAACCACCATCACCTACCCGTTCAACCGATACCAACACCATTCTTGGAGATGAGGACTTGGAGTTTGATTCCACTTACTTTAGTCCCTACCGTGTTCAGAGTGATGATGATGACGATGCTCCTTTTACCAAGCGCCATCTAAAGATGGTTACTGACAAACTCGATCAACTACTTTCTTCCACATCAACTAGTGCTTACTCCGAAACTGCTCTGAAGGCACTATTTTCTTCTGTTATCAAAGAGCATGATGCATCCCTCTCTGCCGCAGCAAAGGCCATTGATGCCTCTACATCCCAATGTCAGAAGGTCTCACTTGCTGTTGAGGCCTCAACGAAAGATTGCGTAAAAGTGACCGCAAAAATCGAAAAACTAATTTCTGAGGCTCGGTTATTCCTTGATTTAATGCAGTCTCCTGCACAAAAGAACTCTTAGAAAGTGAATTCTTCGGTTGATAATCTCCAGCGTTCTATTGAAATCGAAAGAACTAATCTTGAAGTTGCTCGAAAGGCCATTGAAGCTGCCAATGCAAATCTTCATGCAAATGTTAATGACCGTCTAACTCAGTTGGAATTCGAACTGGCTATCGAAAATCGAATTATGGATGAGCTTGACCGACATACTTCTTAGCTCAAAATGAAAAATATTAATCTTCGTTATGCCACAACTGAGCTTAATGATTTAAAGTCTGAAAGAGAAGTAATTAGAATCTCCGTGCGTGACGTTCATTCCATCCTATTACATCTTCTTGACGCCCATGACTCCATTCTGACTATTTCCGTCAGACGCCGTTTAGCTGAGAAACTCATACCTGCGTTGGCCATCCTTAGTCGGATAGAGGGTGTTTTGGTGACTTCTGTCTAGCCGAAACAAGGGGGAGAAAAGAAACCCGAACCCACATCAACAGTTGCACTGAAGGTTAATGAAGATTCGGTCAACAAAAGGGATAAGAAGAAGAAGAAAATTAGTGAAGATGATATTAATGATGATGATTTTGAAGATACCTTGGGTGAAAATCCCTCTAAGCACTTTCAGAAAACAAAAATTACTGACAAGGAGCTTGCAGAAAAGATTGCAAAGGAAACGGCTAAGTTGGAGAAAAAGCTAAAGAAAAGGAGATTTTAGATAAAAAAAAGAAGTCCATCTTTCCAAAATGGACCATTGATTCGCTCCAAAAAGAAGCTATAAATGAACCGAGTGCTCTGTGGCTCGAACCTGTCATGTCATTCGGCCTTTAAAACTTGAAGGATGCTCAATTTTGATAAGCAAATCACACGAAAGGCATTTATATTTCATTGCTTCAACTCAACTGTTGTCATTCCTTCTTCAGACCCGAAGGTAGATCGGGATCTGTTGGAATTCTATCTGGAATTCTCTCAACCACAATACTTGACCTAGACCTCACAGAAGATTACTACTATCAAGGTACTAAAGCTTTATTTAGCCGGGAAATTTGTTAACGTCAAATTGAAAGTAACTCGAGGCTCAGATAGCTCGGTTCATACCATTTCCCTTGCTGATCTTCCCAACCATAATCCTCACGACTGGATACTCCTCAACAACATTTTGCTATGCAATCCACAGGATTATCAGCCGATCATCGACCACATCAAGCGAATGCTTGTTTTCTACATTCATGAAGTGGCGAAAATGGATCAAGAAATCGCATCTTCCATTCACAAGTAACCAACGATCAAAAGAACAGGAAGGGTTGGTGATATAAACACAATGATAAAGGGTAAGATTGACACACATTATCACACTGTGATGTTCATTAGGTGCGAAGGTCAAAAATGTCTATTCGCTCTTATTGACAAACACCTGTTCTCAACTACTTGCTTGGAGCATATTTTGGAGATCATTCACAGGTGTAATCAGAATTTTGAAGCTGACAAGAAGGTGTTTACTGACATGCTGAGATGGTATATACAATTTCGGAAAACTCTTCTTGCTATCATTCCTCGGTTGTTCAAGGTTGTGAAGATTGTGAAGGCTACTCAACAAAAGTAATCTCTCGTCTCATTTTACGCAAAGGGGGAGATTGTTGGGTTCTATAGTGGTGCGTCAAGGGCTCGGTCCTTAGCCCAGTTTTGCAGCCGGTTTGGACCTGTCCAACTGTGCATTTTATTATTCTAGGGTTTTAGTATTTCAGGTGCATGCATGCATCCTTTGTTAGTAACGCTAAAATCATTTTCTTATTAAAGTATTGTAAACCCTAGGTCGCCTCTACAGTGGAAGTTCTTTATCGAGCTCTGCTGAGGCGTGACTATATTTGAATCATAAGTTTCATATTGATTCCATATTGTGTTCTTAATCGTATTATGATTGAATTGTTTGTTATTTATCAATATACTTGTGAAAGATCTAAAAGATCTAGAGATTAATTCTCATCACGAAGAAGGAGATGAACCCTAAAGTTGAAGATGAATGCCGAGCGTGGTAGTTCGAGAAGGAGATGGATAGATCATGGAGTCGCTGATTATGTGTTTCTCACAAAAGAATTTGGGAGATGGTGATGAAAAGGGGGTGGGGTTGATTATTTATTAATTTATTTTTTATTTAAATTTTAAAAAATGTGAAAAAATAACAATAAGGGTATAAAAGTAATTTTAAGTGGGTAGGGGCCAAAATCACTAAAATGATCTAAAATTCGAAAATTGATATACCACCAAACATTTTTAGACAAAAACCACATAATCTTGACAAACACAAGGACCATTTCGGCAATTTTTTTCTTTTCAATTTTTAGATAAATGGTCATTTTAATTTTAGTTTCATTGCGGTTTTGGTCCATGTCCAGACTAAAAAGACTATAATAACCTTCTTATTATTTTTAAGAATTTTTTAAATATTTAATAAATATTAAAAGAAGATGGACCCATCTCTCTCTTTCCATCTTTCTTTCTCTCTCTCACTCTCTCATTCTCTCTTTCTCTCTCCTTTTCTTTCTCTCTCTCTCCTTTTCTCTCTCTCTCTCTCTCTCTCTCTCTCTCTCTCTCTCTCTTTCTCTCTTTCTCTCTCTCTCTCTCTCTCTCTCTCTCTCTCTCTCTCTCTCTCTCTCTCTCTCTCTCTTCCCTTACTTCCTATTGATTTTCTTTTCAGATCCTTTCCATTCACAAATATTGTCCCTCCTAGGTTGATTGATCTATGTGTTTTATACCCTGTGTGGTCGAGGTCCTAGTTTTAAACCCTAAGGGATACCTCTTTCAGTGTTGCAGGTAAGGAATTTTTCCCTGAAAATCCTTATGTGGGTTAGGTTTGCCTGCTTTGCGGAGTTCAAACTCGGGGTGCACG